TGCGTGGGTTTTGCAATATATTTTGGTTGGTGCTTACAAGAAAGGCAGGGAGGGGGGCAGGAGGGGGGATTCCAGTAAGTGGCCTCTGGCCCTTCCTCATTCTTGAGAATAGGAAGTTGTTCGACTTCTCTTCGGGGTTTTCAGTTTCTGCTCAGTGAGGAAAGAGGCCAAACTCCTCCAACCCCCTGCAGCACGGAGCCGCAGCAGCTCTGACAGCCTCTCCTCTCGGGGCTCAGGGCAGTGCTTGTCCTGACACAGCAGCCCCGGGCAATGTCCCAGCCAGACCCCAGGGGAAAGGCTGGGGTTTTCCCTCCTGTGCAAACACCCTGTCATGCATTGCCTCTGAAGGAGGCTCCAGCTGTTCCAGGACTGCAACATGAGAGGGAAGGGACAGCAGGCCTTGACTTTGACCCAGCCCCACCAAACCCAGAGAAATGCAGGCCCTGATGCACACATTGGTCCCACCTGCAGCGTGGAGCACGGGCTGGTTGAGAGCTTGCAGCAATAATGACTCGATCCCCTGATGTCCCAGCCTTTGCTCAGGCATGTGACGGGCCTCCTCTATCCCTGTACCCCCATGCATGCCAGTGCTGCACCCCTCCTCCCTAGCGCCCTGAGGCTGGCATCGCGGTGTAGATCGGGGCAGGGATGGGCCCTTGCAACTGGGGGACCCTCACAAAGGGCTGAACAGGGCCTTTCTTCTGCTCAGCCCAGCCACGTCCTAGGGGCAAGGGGCACAGACACCAGGTAAATGCTTAGGGGCAGATGGGGCCAGGTCCTCGTCCAAGTCATGGAGGAACCTTCCACTCTCCCGTATCCCGTCTGGCCCAGTGTGTGGGGGGTGGATAGTCCCTGCAGGCGCCTGACTGCGGTGGGAGCCAGGGCCTAGCCGTGTGTGATAGGAGATGATCTAAGTTTCACTCCAAATTTGTGGGGAAAACGTGTTAGCAGGACAAACACGTCAAGTTTTGCCATTTTTCTTTCACACAAAACTCAGGAACACCGGATGCAGCTCCTTCTGGGAGGGACGGGGGCCTTCTCCCATACAGACACCAATTCTTCAGCTCAGGAAAGAGCTGGGGACAAAGTAAGGGGCCCAGCCAACGTTCGGCATTTTCCCACAGCTTTGCAAAGTTCAGGGGATGTGATTAGGGTCCTGATCCTGCCATCAAACCCACTCGGAAGGACCTTGGACCCGGGGACATTGTCAGAGCAATAAGAGCACAGAAACCCTGTGCTCAGCAAAGGGCTTGAGCTTGGCCTCTTACCCAGAGGCTGCTTACCTGAGCCAGCCACTCACCGACCACATCAAGGGAGTGTGGTGTGAGCATCAGGATCTATCTGAGCTCCTTCAACTGCAGGGCTAGGGATAGTTTTCTGCAATATCCCTGCTGCCCAAAACCCTGGCACAGTGATCGGTTGGGACCATTTTCTCCATGTTCCTAACCAAGATTTGGGATAGGTGGTCACTGAAGCTGAGACGTCAAAAGCAGTGAGAGGTTGCTGGATGTGGAGACTTGGTGTGCTGTCTGGACACAAGCTGGACAGCCACTAGACGTGGCCTTTTCTGACTAGCTCCTAGGGAAATCCAAGTTTGGCTATGGAGTCCAGCGCATGCTGGGACAGGACTTTGGGCGTTTAGCTTGGGGAACGTGGATACCCATGCAGTGCAGAAGGCATCAGTGGAGCCCTGAGTCATGTCTATAGCACTTCAGCCCGTGTTTGATCAAATGAAGCTCCAGGCAATGAGCAGTACTACACAGACCGTGCAGAAAATGAAGGATGATGGAGAGTGACCAAATATTGTCTTCCCTTGGCATTTATGTATGATAACAGAGGCTGGAAGAGTGCAGAGGGTTGTTGATCATCTGCTCCCTTGGCATTGCTCTCCACCTCGAGTCCTCATCATCAGCGTGTGTCATCGGACTCATTTCCATGGCAGCTAATTACACCTGAGCACAACCTCTTCAGGCTGCAGGAGAAGCCACAGGAAGAACAGGTGAATCATTCAGGACCTTCCCTTTGGCATGGGGGAGTTGCTGGGCCACCAGTTTGAATCCACGCAGGGCTCAGCTGGTGCCTGTCCTGTCCTGCTCCTTTGTTGCATTAGTGTGGCCGTTGGGCTGGGTTCTGCTGAGTTATATTAAGCCGTATGTCCCTAAATAAAGCAGGACCCTCTGTCCTTCACACCGGGCCTTCCAGTCACTAGAAGAGCGGGTGGAAGAGGCAGCTTCTGGGACAGATGGTGTTGCCAGGGGATTAGCTAATATGTTCTGGCCTTGTGGGGGGCGGGTGAGCGGAGCTGCGGGTTCCTGGCAGCTGTGCACATCTGCATCTTGGAACAGGCACCGCGTTGCTACATTAACAGACGGGAGCTCAGAGACGAGGGGGAGGGAGGCGGGTGGGGCATGGCGCAGGCGGACCCGGGAGCAGGGAGATGGCAGAGATGGCAAGTCTCCCGGCAGATTTCAACATCTGGGTTGAACTGCATGTGTCTGAGGGCTCGTCTGACAGGCCTCGGCGGAGGCTGGGCTGGGGCTGCTCCCTGGCTTGCTGCTCAGGCTGGGAGGACCTGGCTCACCTGATCTCCTCCGGGGTCTCCCCCACGGCTCACACAGACCCTGCGCTCGCGGGTTATGCCCTGCACCAACAACCCTCGCCTTTCCTTCTCCTGGTCCCTGTTGGATGACCTCTGCCTCTCCAGCAGAGCTCAGGGGCTGGATCCCCACCCCGCTCCACACTGCAAGGCAGGGCAGCAGGTGGAGACACGAGGCCTTACAGAGCATCCGCTCCAGGGACAGGGCTCCCTACAGAGCCATGCACGGCTCGGCTTGTGCTGGGCCACAGCAAACAAAGCCCAGAGCCGAGCGGGGTTTGGACCCGGGCTTTGCTTTGGACCTATCTTTGCTCCGGCTCCAGCATTGGCTTGGAGCTCAGATTGGATGAGCCACTGCCTTGCTCTCCCTCTGCAGCCCTCCAGCCATTTACGGCTCAATCAGCGCAGCCTGCTCGTCTCCCACCCTCCGGGGACCCCTGCGTTGGCTCGGGGCCATGATCGATGCCCGGTGGGGGGGAAGCAACGGGAACACAGAGCGCAAAGAGTGGGTCAGACGGATGGCCGTAAAAATAGAAACCGGCTGACCTTTAACCCAGAAGCGATCTCTCAAGTTTACTATCCCGGGGTAAACAGGAAGTCTATTATTAGGTGGCCCATTCATGAGCTGGCTCAGGACAGCCCGGCAGTGTGGGCTTGTTTTGTTCCTTTCTGACACACGGTGACGCCGGGCAGGAAGGATGCAAGAGGAGATGCTCCAGGCTTCCCCTGCCCGCCCCACCGTGGCCAAGAGGGCTTTGCCAGGGCTCGCCAGGGGCTGGCGCGGACCACGGGGTTGTGGGGTCCCCGTGGGGGAAGCGCCCGGTGCAGGGGTGGATGAAAGGGGCAGCGAGGGCACGTGGGATGCAGGGCCCAGCACAGAGGAGCAGGTGCCCGAGATGGTGGGGACTCACGCGCCATGGGGCAAGGGTGGTCTGCCCGGGCCTCAGACCCTGACCGTCCTCTGGCCAAGCTGTGCATGTGCATTGGGCTCTGCAGCCTGGGGCTTTGTGGCACGGGCACAGGGTGGCCTCCGTGGCTGGTGTGTCCTCTAACACCCCACCGGGGCAGTCGGGAAGCACCAAGTGATCAATCCCTGCGAGGGTCACGTTGGAGAGCGTCCAGCCCCGCACAGCACAGGAGCTGCAGCCTGCTTCAGCCTGGCCCTTTGGCACCAGCCTTCAGCACTTGGCTCTGGAAACAAAGGTGCTGGCTCCTCGCCTGGCCCCAGCCTGCTCTGCTTCCCATCCTGTGCTGCCACCCAGTGCCGAGAAGGCCCATCGCAGTGCTGGCACCCACACAAGTGTCTCTCCAGAGCCCCCATTTCTCACCCACCCCTCCCTTATGCCAGGTTGGCATCTCTTACAACGCTGATCTGGTGCCAGCTGGGGGGTGAGGGGGCAGGAAAAGCCACGTCACACCTCGATCCTGCTGGGGCTCCCTGCTATAATCACACCCCAGCCCAAATTCCCTTGGGGGGGGTCTTTAAAGTCGCTGCCTGCCCCATCACGTCCCACTGCAACAAAGCGGGAAGATGGGGAAAGGCTACTGAGTAGGGAGCCCGTTCCTCCTCCTTGCAGATCTTTAGGGCAGCATTTCCTGCTCTCTTAAGCCTCTCCTCTGCCTTGATGCCTCCAAAACATCTCGTTACTGGTGCGGCACCCACCTAATGGTAGCTCATCTTCCTGCTCCCGGGGGCTTCTCCTCTTGGAAGTGACCCCCTTGCTGCCCATCACCGCACACTGCAGCTCTGAGCTCTCTAAGGCTGGGACTTTCTCTCTCTCTCTGCCCTGGGTACATACAGCAAAGCACCACTTGACTGGAGTCAAGGGGCACAAGCCTACTAAATATGAGAACGATGGTAGTGTTGAAGTGATGTTGAGGCTTGAAGGAGGACACTGTGATAGCAGGCTTACATGCCAACCATACAAATATCACCCATGAAATGTTGCCTCACGACAATGATGACATTAGCTTGGTGCTGAAAGAAAAATCACCTATTTTTTTGCCCACTGCACTGCACAGGGGAAGGCTGGTGCACTCAATCAGCCCTGGGTACAGGGGCTCTGCTGGCCTTCTGCAAGTTGCAGGCTCGGACACCAGAGGATGCGAAAAGTCAGGGCAGAGGTGCACTGGGCAGGGTCCTATTGCTGGGAGAGCAGGGGGAACTGCAGGCTGGGACTGAGTGACCTGGCAGTGATGCGGGACCTCAGGCCTGCGGCTGTGTCAGCAGTGCATGCAGAGCACAGTGGGGAACCAGCAACACAACCTGTGGGAACTGTTGGCCAGGAAAAGAGAGGGTTGGCAGAGCTGTGAGGTCTCCAAACCAGTGGTGCAACCAGGTCCTGTGAGGTGCATGGTCAGGGTAAGTCTCCTGAGCCAGGCTGATGCAGCCTGACAGCCATGGGTTGTTGAAAGCAATTGCCTGTGCTATGGATAGCATGACGGAGCAGCATGGGAACAGCACCTGACCGAGCTCAGAAAGCTCACCAAGAAAGCAACTGGTAAGATAAAGGCTTCAACAAACCTCTGTATTTCAGTGATGGACCCAGTGTATCCAGATTGATCACAAGGCCACATTAACAAAGTTTAAGCCCCCGCCAATAAAGCACAAGGCAGTGTGGACAGGAGCCAGGTGGAGCAGAACAGCTGGGTGTCAGTGCCCCCTGGCGCCACCCGGCCGGAGCAGCACCCACCTACTCCACCCCAAAGCAAGCGGTGCAAGGTGGTGGCCGTGTTAAGCAGCAGACAGGGGAACCTTCTGACACTCCCCTTTGCCCCATCTCTCTTCACTCCCTCCTCCTCCAGCTGTGCATCCAGTCTCTTCCCCTCTTTAGGCTGCACCTCCACTGACACAGCCTCCAGGTCTGCTTCCCCCACATCCCTTTGCCCCTCTCCTCCCCTACACAAGCCCCAGGACTGACCAGTGTTGCTTTGGGGATCTATATCCCACCAGCCCAACCTAGACTGCAAATAGCACTTTCCCCGCACCTTCTGACCCCAAACCCAGCTCCAGCCCTGACTCCCATCTTCCATTTGTGCCAGACAGCTCCAGGCTGCATCTAAGGACAAAAGCAGTAAACAAGAGAGAACTCCTCACAGTTAAATGGCCAAATATTTTTCATGAACTCCAGGCTTTGCAAGGCTTGTTCTGTGCCTAGAGACAGCGAAGACAGCATGGGATGGTGGCAGAGGTTGCACTAGCTCTGCCTGGGATAAACTTCAAAGCAATGTACACACATTTCAGTGTTCCCATGGAGCACGACAGGGCTTGGCAACCTTTGGCCACTGTAGGCCACAGCCCAAGACCTGGCTCCCTGCCACGGACTGCAAATCTCTGCCTCCCAGAGCTCCCAAGCTTGCTTTCACCACTGCTCCCCAGCCCGTGCAGGGGGGAAATGCAAACATGAGAGCAGCAGGGAAGGAGAGAGGATGCTACAGAGGGGGTGGGCAGCTTGGCACAGCTGTGGGCCGCCTGATCCCCTGCAATGCCCTAGGGCAATCTGGATCTTCAAAGGCTGGATCCAACCTCATGAGCCAGATCTAGCCTGTAGGCTGGAGGTTGCCAACCTTTGGTCTAGAGGCAGGAGGGTGGGGGGCATGGCACAGAAGGCTCAAGTGACTTGTCCAAGGTTACAGCACAAGTTGTAGGTGTGTGTGGGGGCAGGGGGAACACCTAGGTCTCTGGAGCTTCCACCCCCTTGCTATAACCACTAGACAGCCTTGCACTTTGGAGTGAAGGACAGGAGGCATCTAGGGACAGTATCAGAAGAAGTCATTAGTTCATAACATGACTCCCAAAAGCTTCAGTCACTCCACTTCATCAAACGAGTCATCATCCTCCTCATCCTCGCCAAGAGCCCAAGTGTTACCTCTGGCTGACTGTTTTATGATTTGCATCCATCGCTGCTTCAGCTCCTCTGTCTCAGCTGCCAGCATGTAGGACTGCTTGGACTGGGTCAGCTGAAAGAGGTGGCGCGAGTCGCCCTGGGACAGGTCTTTCACCTGGTAGCCCAGCAGGGGGATGGAGGTGTGAGCCTTGACATCCTGGAAGGGAAGGGAGAACAGGCAGAAGCTGAAGCTCCTCAGCAGAGGAGTCTTTTCTCTTCCCTTCAGTGTAGACAGCATCTCGGGATGCAACAACCTGGCCCTGCAAGCTCATGATGCAGGACTCTGCTGCATGGCTGGAGCTGGTCCCTGCAGAAGCCCCCTTCATTGCAACAAGGGATTGAGCCATCACCTACCTGAGGGGCTGCATAAATGTACAGCACAAGGGGGTCGTCCCGTGGGATCACAAACCAGCCCCGCATGCCCTTCCCACTCCTGTCCACCAGCTGCAAGAAGCTGCACATCAGGCTGTGCCCAGAGATTTCTGCAGATTCTTTCTGCCAAGAAAACAGATAAGCAAGTTCTTTGCAGTTCCTCTGTGCACACGGGGAGCCAGGTTCCACAGGGGCTGCCTACGGTCTAATCCACTGTGGGGCTTGCTGGATCTCACACAGGCAAGGTGCTGTTCCTGGTGGTGGTGCCCTCAAGCACACTCTGCTGTTCTAGGGGAATGGCCTCTTGGACTGAGAGGGCAGCCAATGCCATGGACAGGCTCATTAGCTTGGGGCAAATAGCAGGTTCACTGGCATTCTCACTCAGTCCTGTAGAAGTAGCTATCCTGCTTCTGGGCCAGGAGGCAGTCCGTGGGGAACAATGCAGTGCAACTGAGAGCACCGTTACTGGTTATCAAGTGGACAGTCTGAGTTCACAGGTTATAAAGATTTAGGAGGTCTATAAATCTGCTCAGTCCCTGCTTTGCAGCAGGAAGCAGCAGCCCCATAGACACTTTAATGCTCAGCTAAAGTCACCTATCACATTCCTTGCACCATTCACATACTTACTTCTTTACTGTGCATATGCACAGGTGTATATCCATGCATCAATGTCTGTGCATGTGCTCATTGGCGTGTGTATCCATGGGTAGTTGGGTTGATCTGTGTGCACACAACACTGACACTCGTGAGTGTTAATGCCTGTGCATAGATATGTACTGGTGTGCCCACATACATTGATGCCTCTGCATATAGTATGTGCATTATCATGTCTGTGCTTATGGTCATGTATGAAGTTTATCAAAGCCCACATAGAGGCACCTCTGATGTGTCCATGTAGGTGGATGTCTATATCTATGCTTGTGTGCATCCATGCATACCCAGCTCTCCAGGTTTGTCCACGTTTACCCATGCATAAGCTGGTATGCATACATGGCGCTCCTGTGTGCTGATGTTCACATGTGTATGCATGTCTGTGTGCACAGATATGGCACGTGTGTCAACTTTTGTGTGTCCAGTGGTGGGCATGGAGGGGTTTCCTGCTCCGGTTCAGGACCATGGGCAGGGGGCGTTCAGCACCATGGACAGGGGCCCTCCTTTCTGGGAAGACACAGGGGGAAGGTGCCGCAGGCAGGAGCCCCAAGGCGGGGCAGGGAGCCAGCCCCGCTAATAGAGGATGAGAACATGGGGGTAATTTCAATGTACTCAATGACCAGCAAGTGAAGGCAGTGCCAGGGACAAGCAAGGAGAGTGGTTCCAGGGGGATAAAACCACCATCCCTTCCCCACAATGGGACCCTTCCACACAGAGCTCTTCCAACACCAGCCCCATCATGGATTTCTAACCCAGGACTCCCAGAGGCAGAGCCACTGTCCTGTGAAATTTGCTCCCCTGTTCCACGAGCTGCACCTCTGACAACACGACCCACCCCCTGCTCCTCTCTGGCACTTGGTGTCTGAGCACCCCAAGGCACTCTGCAGCCACCCATGATCTACTGTTGGTCGATATTAATGCCAGGGTAACGAAGACTGGAGAGGAAAAGGGCCTGATTTAGAGAGATGAACACCCTCAACTAACCCTCACTGCCTCAAATGGAAACTATGGGTGTTCATCCCCTCCTTCCAGAAGTGATGTGCCTGAGGTCATTGGCAAATTAGTGGCAGAGTTAGGATGAGAGCCCAGGTCTCTATGCTCTGAGGATGAACCAGTGCTGTCCCCCACCCCTGGCAGGAAGGAAGAGGTGGGGTGATTGGTGGGTCAAGCATTCATGATACAGGCAATGTGAATGCAGGCTCTGGCTCCTGGATCTGTGGGCAGACATGGACAATGAAGCAGCTCGCGCTCAGAGAGGGGATCTCAGAGGCAAGAGCCAACTCTCCAACTGGTGTCTTTGGGTATGTTTATGCCATGTCCACAGCCCGCTTGGAGAAGGCGTGCTGTCCACCCACTCCCCTTCACACACACCAAGACAGTGAAGCCACTCTGGGATACCCTCACTTCCCTACATCAGCCCTCTGCTTCCTGTAAGCTTGGGACTGGCCATGGGAATGTCCTGGGAATGGCTTCACGAGGGCACTTCTGGGCATGGTGTGTGCAGGAGGGAGTGGGGGCATGTTGGGTGGTGCCCCCTAGAAGCACTAGGGATAGAGTGGCCACATGAGCCTGGCAGTAGCAGATGGGGGGCAGCAGCCCAGTGGGAGTCCAGAAAGGCTGGTTACTGTGCGCCTGAGGGCAGAAGTCACATGTCTCAACTGAAGGCAGCAGCATGACATAGGTCATGAAGGGAGAGGGTTGGAGCAGGACAGAAGCAGCAGAAGACCTCAGAGATGGAGGGAGGCAGGGGCAAGGGACAGAGAGAACTCGCTGTGATCTCACCTCCAGGATGCCCTTCTGCTTCCCCTCCCGCTCCTCAGGCAGCAGGTGCCCCGTCAGAAAGACGTAACACTCCTGGCAGACGCGATGTAGGCGATTCGGGTCATACTGAAGCTCAGCTTTGTAGTCAGAACACCGACCACACACCACCTGTTCCCAAGACAGGCCCTGGTCAGGCGAGGACAGGGCAAGGGGCCCTGACAGATACTTGGAGAGGGGCAAAGGAGTCGCCTCTCTCCCCACAACATGGGTAGCAGAGCAGGAGAGGATTTATCTGGCCCTGAGGGAGCTCAACTCTTGCCCAAGTATGGCTGCAGCAGCCCCAACCCCTGGGATGGAGCACAGGGGATCTCCTTCCTGCTGCTCACCCCTCTCCACAAGTGTTTTTTTCCCTTCAGAAAGCCCTTGCAAACAAGCTGCTGCTCTGTGCTGGGGGATGGGGCGGAAGACTGCCTGCACCCCCTGGGCTGGGCTTGGCAAGAAGGCAGGGGGAAAGGGGGTCACTCACATAGCCACAGGCCCGGCAGTGGTGCCTCCTGCGTGTGATAGCGTTGAACGGCTCCTTGCAGCGCATGCACATGGTCACCAGCTTGTCCCGCACCCACTGCGGGGCTCGCCGGCCCAGCTCCTCTGTCTTGTACTGTGTGGGGTGGGGGACAGAAGAGAACAGGGCCCCATCAACTCAGCAGCTGTCTCCACGTCAAAGGAGCCAGGGCTTGGCAGTCATATCTATACAGGGGACTCCATCGAGGCTGCTGGATAGAGCTCACAGCCTGTGCTCCCTACTGCCACTGCCTGGGCTCTCCCCAGTCCTGCCCTGTATTCAGCCATCATCAAAAAACCTGCTGACTTCTTTCCCCACGTGCCACCCCGTCTTCGTTCCAGGCTACCCATTCCTCATCTTGACCCTCCCCACCCCAGGCCTAGGGGCCTAGGTGTGAAAGGATTCACCCAGAGCCTCAGAGTGGGAGGCAGGACAGGAGGAAGGGTGGGAGAGTGGGGTGGGGGCAGATTACACTGAAGTCCTGGGCCTCCACGTCGAGTCCATGAACTGCCGTCTTGAAGCTTTCATTCCGCTTTTCATTCTTGTCAATGGCGTCCTGGAAGGCCTGAGGAACAAAGGGAGGCTCAAAGGTGAGGGGAAGGCCTGTCATGGCCTGTCCCATGTGGTGCTCCTGGCCTTAAGTGGTTGGTTGCAGTCTAGTTCCCCGCAAAGCCATGAATTCTGCCTCTGTTTCCGGCCCAGAGGCTATAACACCAAGGAGCCACAGACACATACTGTGTCCTCAGCCTTGTCCCCCTGGCTACACAGACCTTGTAGCAGGGACCTGCACTACATGTATGCTTGTGAGGCAGACTCCTGCTCACACTATGTGTGACACCAGCACAGCCACAGCACCTTGTGGACACAAAGGAGCAGTCAGCACAAGTGGGTCCTCAACCCCCAGCCACTTCTGCTGGCCCAGACAGCAACTTGGACCAAGACCTCAGACACTGCCCTGCTGCTGTGGACTGGCCCTTCCCACTGCACCAGGGGGCTGGAATGCTTTCTTGGGCCAACACTGGAAAACTCCAGGACACAGATCCACCCCTCACTCCATGGCTCCTGCAAGCTATGTTCAAAAAGCCTATGGCTTGCCGTACCTTTATCCAGGCATTCATCTCCTCTCGCGACCTGTGCAGAGTGGGGACACAGGCGTTAGAGAACAGGCCTTCAGCTACTCTGTTGGAGCTGGAGAGGAGGGGACAACTCGCTTCCTCACCTGGCTTGCAATTCCAGTGTCCGCTGCTTCCCAGAGACCAGAAAGGTGTGGGGGAATTCTGCATCGTTCAATGCCCGGATCTGAAAACCCAGAGAGGGAAACAAGCCTGAGCTGTAACAAGCCTCTAGGAAACCACACTGCTGGGAAAAGTAAGCCATCCTGGTTGCTGTGTGTAACAAGGGATAAGTACAGGGAGCTCTACTGGGACGCATGACCTGTGCCCCGCCATGGATGCTGGTGCCTGGGTTTCACAGGACAACTCTGGCTCTGATTCTAGGCTAAGCGGGGTCAGGTTTACTCAGCAACAGAACAGACTTGAAAGAGGAAACACCTCTACCCTCAGTGGGTCAGTAGATGGCGCTCTGCCCTCTCCTACGGCCTTCCCTAGTCTGTTGCGCTGCTGAAGGTGCCGTTTTCGGGGTGAGACGCCAACTCTGAGCTCTAACCATCTCCCCAGGCAGTCGTCACACGAATCAGTGCATCAGACCTTTGGCCCAGGCCCCATCTCATTCCACCTCCCTAAAACTCTTCCCAGTTTCCAGTGAACACAGCCTCCTTCTTCTCTTCTTGTCCTAACCTGCCACGCAGTGTTGCTGTGTCCAGCTGAGCAGCAGCTGCATTCCACCCCAGAAGTGGCTGCATTTGTGGTGCTCAGTGAAACCCAGTGTGGGGGAACAGATGCCCCCGGCACAAACCTAAGTGACAGCAGGGAACACGGGAGTTCTCTGACCTTCATGCCGTCCACGTCGATCCGCACGTGTACCTGGAATTCAGCCCCAACCTGGATGACCTTCTGCACGCAGTACAGCAACATGTTGTTGAACTGAGTGAGAGGAAGCCAGTGTGAGCAGTGGGACAGGAAACACAACCCAGGCATGCTGGCCATGAACAGGACCTATCCCAAAGCATGTGTCCCACAAACCTGAGCTTAGCAGCACAGGCTCTGGACCTACTGGTACCAAAGCGGAGATTTCCTACAGATCCCATGGGAGTTAGGTGCCCAAATCCCACTGAGAACAAAGGGTGAATGAGGGCCAAATGCCCTTAGGCTCCTTTGAAAATATTCCACCCATATAGCTGATCCCTTTCTACCCTTCCCACTCGCGACAAAGACAAAGGATTTCCAAATTACTTCCTTAGCAAATCTGGTGGCAACCACAGTGACCCAAGGGTTACCCAGAGCTAATGTACTCTGGAAACAAGGGGGCTAGTTCTAGCCTCCCCTTCTAGCACCTTACATGGGGACATCCTGGATGTTAAATGCTCACACAGACCAGAATGCTCCATGCACCCATGTTCCACCAGTGTCAAAGGCAATGCAGGGACTATGGCATTGGGAACACAACACTCAAGAGTCTCCGGCCAAGCTAGCCAGTGAGCTCTGCTAAGACACCAGGGCTTTCTACTCTTTCTCTCCCCCACCGTTTCTGTCCTCCCCTATTGATCCTCCAGGAACAACCTGCTGCTTCTCAGTGCTACATAATGCCCTATTCCTCTCCTTCCAGCCACCCCAGCCTTCCCTGCCTGGTGCGTCCACCATCTTCTCACCAGGAAGAGATACTTGTCTGATGTGGTGTTATTACGGAAGGAGATTTTGTGGATGGGCCCCTCTTTAATGAGCTCATTGGAAGGGTCAACAATATCGTCTTCCAGTCCCAGTCTCTGATACACCTCCCAGAGGTTCTGGAGACGTTCCTGGGGAGACAGAAAAGGAGGAGTATGAGGCAAGGGAAACCCAGCTGGCTGATCCATGAGGTCTGAGAACAGTGATTCTCAGCCAAGCTGCTGCAGCATCCTATGGGCCTGGGAGATCCTTTTAAGGGTCCCACAGGGTGCTGGACAATATTAGCACTGTGAGGTGTGCAAACAACTGCACACAATTCGCAACATAAACCCAGAGGTTTCAAACAGGAATCCAATGTTAAAACCATTCTTAGTTCTTTGTAACAAAAGAATTGCCATAGTATTTTTCTGTAGTCAAAAAAACTGAGAGCTGGCATTTTCTGAGAGGTCCCTCGAGTCTAAGAAGGGGCATCTCCAGTCTAAATAGGTTAAGAACCTCTAGAACTAGACTGGGATTCTCCTTCACTTCAAACAGGGGACTCCAGCCCAGTCCAGACCAGACAAAACAGGATTTCACCCTCCCATTCTGGAAGACGGCCATTTGTTCTAGGGAAGGAACGGGCTGCATTTTCATGTACCGGCACATCTGTCTTAGATCCCAGATCAAGACGGTGTCTCTTTCGCAGTGGACAGGGGCAGCGTTCCCTCCAAGCTGTGTGGCATGTGTGGCATGAATGGGCCTGCAGCATGAATGGGCCCGTGCAGCCGTGCGTGCTGCACGGCTTAGAGGGAACACTGGACAGGGGTCCTCAGGCAGCAAGTTCCACTTATTGGCTTATGATGTACCTAGGCTGGGCTGGGATTGCTCTTTCCTAACCTGTTCCCTCCCCAGACACTGCAGGCCTGCTCCAGGCTGTGGGAATCAAGTGCACCTGCAACAGAAACTAGAAGCAATAAGGCAGATCTGGCACTCACCATTTCCGCAATGGCTGCATTTGAATGTTTGGCTGCAGAGAAAATCATTTCCAGGGCTTCTGCAAGGGGAAGAGAAAGGGAACCGAAGACTGAGCTTCTTCCCAGACTCCACTCAGGAAGGCACCTTTCATGTGACCTTCCTCAGCTTTTAAGAACAGTGTAATGGAGGGGCTGGTAGCATGTCTGAGTCACCACTTCTGTCTACTGGATGGAGCCAGGACCGTTCAACCGGGCATCATAAACCCAGTTCTGCTAACAGAAAGTCTCATTCAGACCACATGATAGAGGCCAATGCTTCTGGAGCAAGGAGGGCTCAGATTTAGTGCAGCTCTGGTTGAGGGATGGAGTGGGTGTGGTGTGCAGGGCAGGAAGGCTGCTGGTGGAGGAATATTTCTGATTCTGGTCCCAGTGGAAATCCGTGAGGGTAACTTGTAGACATACCCTTCCTCCCCCTGCTGAGGACCCCTCTCACTGGATCTCTCACATGGGAATGCTAAGTGCTCAGCACCATCTAGCCATGGGCCCAAGGAGTCTTAAACCCTTGAATACCCAGCATAAAGCATATCAGAGCAGAGCCCTCCACACCATGCAGCTAAAGAGAACTGCACCAACCTGATGATAGCACTTTGAGCAGCCAAATGTTGGTCCTAGTCACTAGATCCCGGTGAGAAGGGTCCAGTAAAGCAGGTCTCACCTATTTTCTGATTCTCCATTTCCTTGCTACAGTGAGCAAGGCAAATGACAAGCCTTTTCAAGTCAGTCCTCAGCATTGCATCTAATGAGCCCCTGGTCAGAGTTGCTCGTTTCCAGAAAAATTCCCTGCAGTTTTCCTGCAGTGTTGCACCCTACACCTGAGGATCTCCCAGTGCATGGTGAAGGCAAATAAATATTCTTATCCCTATTTCATCCGCTTGAGTGACTTGACCAAGGTCACATAGCAAAGCACTGGCAGAGTTGGTAAGAAAATGATGCCTCTCTATCCCTTACTATAAAACCATGCCACTTCCCTCAGACGCACCCCATTTCGTCCCTCCCAGACAGAAAATACGGGAGCTCTTACTCTCTGCATCAGCCCTGTCTGGTGACTCGGGAGGTAATTTTCGGACATACTCCTTTAGCAAGAGCTCGTAGCGTGGGATCCTCTGCACTGGCTCCAGCATGTGGTGCTGCAGGGTTAGGCTAGCACACACTTCCCGTTTCTGGAGAGGGACATCAAAAAAACAGAAAGAGAAAGGGGATGGTGAGGGACTGCAAGTTACTCCAGACACCTTGCTGTCCTCAGGCCTGGGAGCAGCCAGCTGAGCATGGAGGTCAGTAAAGGCTGCTGGCATTTGGCACCTTCCCAGACCAGGACTACATGACCTGGAGCATCACCTGAATGTCTGCAATTAGCTCCTGGAACGGCGGGGACTTCTCTGACCATGTAGCGATCAGCTCCACCGCCTTGTCGAAGTTCTTGACGTACTCGCCGTACATCTTGAGGAATGGCGCTAGCTTCTGGATGACATCCCCGATGCGGGGGTTGGAGCTCCTGCAGGTGGGAAGTGGGAGATTAGGATCATACCACACCCTCCCAGGACCAGCTGAGCAGGGCATGAAGGCAGCCCAGGGACACTGAATGGATTCATCAATTCATCTCTTAGGGGCAGCCTTTGGTACAAGGTCAAAGCAAAGCTCAGACTCACACCCCTGGGGCCATAGCAACAGATCTGCTTTGCTACTACCCTGCTGTCTGGGATGTGGCTGTGGGAAGTAGAGCATGACGTTCCTGGAGCACTGGCCTAGGCTGGTAGTGCCTGAGTGTGGTCATGGTTTCAAAGCTACTTGGTAGCATCTGGGAAAGGAGTTGGTAGCAACTGTTTAGTTTCTGGGGAAAAGTGCCCATGTCACCAAAACCCTACCAGTGCTGGCACTGGACAGGATAACGGACTAGCAGTCAGGAGATGCCCTGGGTCTTCTATGGGTTCACTGTGTGGCCTGAGGTAAGTTACTTTCTGGTCCTCTCTCTCTGTGTCTCAGTTTCCCAAACCTCTTTTATATAGTTTCAGTCAAGCTGCTAAGAGTAAAAGGGCCTTAGAGACTAAACTGCCCTCTCATTACTAGTACAGTACATCCTAATAGGGCACAGACAAGGAGGGCTAAGCTCATATGGAGAGGTGTGGGTGTGTGTGTGTGGGCATGTAAAACAGGGCCACTCTCCATGCTGTATGCTATCTGTGGGACTTTACTCCCCCACCGCTGCCAACACAACGCTTTCCACTGCATTCAAAAATTGAAAATTATTGCTGAGTAACTGCATGGAGGATGAAATGTTAACTTGCTGCCCACATTCATGAGGAAGGTTCCAGTTCCCTTACACTGCACAGCACTCTGACACTTGAAGTCTTGCTTAAGTGAGAGAAGGGCATGTTCAGCATACCCTTAAGGCAATTCAGGTTTGTGCTCAAAGTGTCTTGCCAGAGTACACAGACTTGCAGAGCTCTGTGGGCTTACCTGTCAGACCCCATTGTAAGACTAATTTTGCAAGTGTTTTATTCTAGGAAAAGAACCCAGGAGCCCTGGCTCTTCAAAACTCACCACTCTGCCATGCGTTTCTGCAGCTCTGGCAGAAAGAACAGGGCATGGAATTGGTAAATGGAGGAGATGTTGGAGAAGATCATTTTTACCACATCCTCTGGGACTGACTTCCCACTTCTGGCCTCCTTCATCAGCTCTGTAAAAAACACCTGGGAAGAAACATTGCCAAAATGTCAGTGCTGGAAAGGGCTGATGTATGTCCCTGATGCTCCTTATAGCCTGGATTCCTGAGGTGAGGAGGCTTGGCCTTGCAGAGGAATGGGACTCAAAAGATTCCCTTAAAGAGAAGCAGGGAATAAGGCCTGGCAAAACAGCACTATGGCAAAGGCCAACAGCACCTAAGCTTCTCACAGAAAGTCCTAGGTCCATCATAAATAGGAAGGGAGGAACAAGCTGAAGGGGCTGGGGTGACAAGGATGAAGGGATATTTTAAGGAGTAATAAGATTTTCTGAAATGGAGACAGAAGCATGTCCTGGAGGGTGATGCTCCCAAAGAGATGTAGAGCTATGGGAGATACAGCACAGGGCAGGAAGATGGCCGAAGAGGAGGCAGGTGCAGAGAGGCCACCCTGAGGGGGGATGGAGCTGTATGCAATGGGTGCTCACATGGCCCCTTAAGAGACCAAATGAATGTCTGGGAGCAGAGTTAGCATGCTCAGTGAGTGATAGGGGGAAATGCCCGTCTGTCAAATCAGCATTCATCAGGTCACTGGTATAGGCTCAGCGTGGGGCAGAACATGGCCTGGTTGCACTACTTGAGTAGAAAGGACAAGCTGAGCTAAAACCAAAATGAATATGATGGGGCGCTTAAGACTTTCCGTGAAAGTGATGGTGGTGAATTGGGGTACTTTTCCATGAAGGGGCATCCCTGGGTGAACTGTGGACCAGGTCTTAGCTGTTCTATGTGTAACTGTAAGTCTCCTTATCTCTTTGGGCCTAAATATTAGGTCAAGTGACAGCTAGACCATAGGCTTATTGCTCTCCAGCCCCATCCTAGTCCCTCCGCTGACCTGGTCGAGGAGATGAAGCCGACTGACGTAGGCTTGCTCTGTTTCCAGCAGCTCCAATGCAATTTTCTTTTCTTCTGGGTCCTGTAGGTACAGCAAAGGGAGAAGTGGGTTTGGCCGTGCAGGTAGGAACCCTGGTCATGTGCTCTCTGCACCAAAGCCAGCCTGCTGCAAGCCACTGGAGTGGTCTGAATTCGTTCCACTAACTTTGAGGCAAATAAGGTCCACCCCTTGGCATCCAGTAACCCACATAACTGGCCTGAAACCAAGGCAGTCCTACTCATCAACACTGTAGACAGGCAGGGATGTGAGGGCCTGGTGTGGTGTGACTGACTAATCTAAAACGGCCAAGCTTCCTGTGAACCATGGGTCTGGATCCCAGCTGGGCTGAGGCAGCCTTCCCCAGGAGAGAGCCGGGCATTTTATCTTCAAGGGAATGGGGGCCCTTTGGACAAGGCTTTAAAAAAGCAGCATCCTATTCACACAGGCTAAAGATCTTTTAAAAAGCATGAGGGTCCTTGACCACAGGTCTCCTGTATGCTCAGGGCAGCTGCCTTTCAGCAGTGCTACATAACTTGTGGGACACCTGGAAAAGCAAGGGGCCACAGGAACAAGTGCTATTCCACGTCCAAGTTCTATTCTGTGTCCAAGCCCCTGCCAATGGACTCTCATTCTACTTCCTGCACCTCCCAGGAGATAATACATCACCTGATTTTTTTTCCACAGCGGTTTTCAGACCATTACTGAAGGCTTTATGCTGCCTTCATGATTATCAGCTAAGTGGAATGTGGAGAGAAGGTTCTTATAGTAAATGCATGAAGCAAAACCACATCACTCTCAGCGGATCCTCGGTTCCTTTCTCATCAAACAGCAATGAAGAAGCTGTCACAGGGCTGACCAAGGAAGGATGGGAGGGAGGGCTGGGGGTGAGGAGATCTGGGTTCTCTTTGACTCTTATTGTGTGGCTCCCTTCCCCTCTTTGGGCCTCAGTTCCCCATTGTAAAATAGAGGTAGTGATACTATAACCTCTAGTGGGGAGATGAGGATTAACTCACTGTGGTCTGTACAGTGCATCGGCAGCTCTTCACTGCAAAGTGCAATAGAAATGCAGCACCAGCCCCTCCATTACTGTACAGTGGTGCAGCACCGCAGAAGCCAATCCTGGGTTACCCTCCCTGAGCTTCTGGCCTGCAGAATGCTGTTATACTAGGGGAACTGACATCCCAATTAATTAGAAGTTGCTCCTTTATAGCGCCTTATACCTGAAGGCCTCCAGACAAAGCCCTGGCCCAGCCTGTGGCATCTGGGTCCTTGGAGCATACCAGGGCAGCGGCATGCACTGTTCACTTTTAGGGTGAGATTTCAAGACCACTGACACCTAGAAGCTCCTGCCGGTGTCAGCAG